GAAATGCGGAGGAGAGGTCCGCTTGCGTCATTGTGATGACATAGTTGTAATCTTCCTCTTTTTCGTTTGTCGAGAAATGCAGATGGGAGGAAAATCGATAAAAAAATTGCTCTTGAAAAATTTTCTCCGAGAATCAAACGAATATTTAACTAATTATTTATTTAAGATAAATATGCGAGAGAGAGAGAGAGAGAGAAAAGAAAAATTGTACTTTTTTTCAAAATTGTAATTGTATTTGTGTGTAATTATATGATAAAAAAGGGTCGTCACATGGATGTGTCCATCGTATCTATATACACGTGATTTTAATGTGAATTATACACATATAAATATTATTACAGCAATCACACACAAAATTCGATTTAAACACTTTTTATCAGCTTGTCTAACGATTATTATCTTGTCATGTCATCGAGACGTCATATCATCAATTTTGTATTTTAAATAACAATGGATCTTTGCCAGTTAAGTATTTGTCGGTCGATTATTGATAATGAGGCAAATAAATAAAAGCGAACTACCTTTTATGATTGGCGGACTCTAACTGGAAGTGACTAGATAAGACATGTATAGTAAGTCGTCAAGCTCGATAACGCGAGCACGTGAAACTTGCGCGGGGTAAACAGCCCATACAAAAGTTTGCAGCAATATTACTGCAATGTTTGTAATGTTACTGTAATAATACGGAAACACAATGTCGTTGGAATAATGCGTGCTTATAGAGAGAGAGAGAGAGAGAGAGAAACCATCGAGATGTTTAGACGCATCAAAATAAGTCGATGGATGTAAAGCGGTTCCTAAACGATCAATATTATTACATAATATTATAAATTTGTTACACAATGTTGTTGATCATCTGCAGGCTAAAATATTGAACTTTCAATGTTCAAACTGTTTGTTTTGATAATAATGAACAATTTAGGACTATATAATGTACATAATAAATAAGAAAGAATGCCTATATTGGTCGAAGCTGGATCTGAAGGAAATCCTAAATATAATAATTGTCATACGCAATCAGAAAGTTTATTTTGAAACTGTTGGAAGTTTTCTTCGCGCTAATTGGTTTATCCTTTTAAATCTCGAGGAATAATCCTAGCTCAGCAAATAATCATGAAACGGTTGCAAATATTATTGTGTTTTGCTGAACGAAGCCATAGTTATAGTAGGACTTAAGCATGTTTTACAATATGTATTTAGTTTCCTGTTTTGTTACCTTTTGCTATTTTTTACATCTCATCTTTTTATCTCTTGTCCTGCTTTTCGTTTCTATCTTGAAATAAAAGTTAATGAATTTTGGAGGAAACGTGCCAGAAATACGTGGCAAGAAATATAATTGTCAATAAAACAGTTGCAAAGAGGGGAAAAAGCAAGAGACAGAAAACAGAGCATATTGTAGAATAGACTTTACACACAGACGATTTACGTGTCATTGACACATTACTACATCGACATCTCACTCATGCATGTCACAAATACATATATATTTATAATAACATGTATAACAATAACGTTTTAAATGTTAAACGTTCAATGTTAATGAACGTCTAACAATAAGTCCAATTCTAAGAACTCTGCGTTGTTTCGTCGTACAAACTACTAATTTGTGGATTATTATTATTTTGTAAGTGCAGATAGCCTTTATACGAAGCAAATGTTGTCATAATGTGTTAGAGAGAGGGAGAGAGAGAGAGAAAGAGAGAGAGAGAGAGAGGGAGAGAGAGAGCGCCATATTAAACTAAAAAATGGTAAAGATCTTAATTTTGGAATTTTTGACGTTCTCGGTATAAACTCCACCTTGCAGATACGTGTAAAAGAAGAAAAAAGTAATTATTATACAAGAATTATATGATTTACTTTAACTTTAGATAATATAGGCGGCTTTAGGATGCCCTTTAAATACATAATTTTTATATAACAATTACTTTTTTTTTTACAGATTAAAAAATCTTTTTCCAGAAGTTTATGTCAAAAACGACCAAAAAAATTTCGAAATTAATATCTTATTTACCATTCTTTAATCTAATATGGTACTCCAGAGCTTTTACACATCGTGATAACATTTGTTTTATATAAAAGCTGTACAATCTGTACTTATGAAATAATCCACAGAATACTATAGTTTGCATGAAAAAGCAGCGTGGAGTTTTTGAAATTGGACTAACTTAACTGTTATACGAAAATTTAAGTGTATAGCATAAATGAGTAAGATATTAATATTGATGTAATAATGTGTCAATGACACGCAAATCGCCTGTGTGTAACTACCGTTTACAATATGAATAATTGTCTTTATAGAATCCCCTTAAGTGCTTTAAATAATTTGTTTAAGAAAAGCTTCAATAAAATATTGTACAAAATAATTGCACACAATATACAAAATAATATTTAACTAATATTGAAATAATACAATATAATATTGAATGTCTAGAAGTTACATGAATATCATAGAATTGATGAATAAATCTTTTTCTTTTCTTAATTAATGAAATACACATACAAGTACGCGGCTTTTCGACTTTTTATAAAACAAGCGCCGCTCGATCTTGAGCAGCACGAGCAATTTCCGTCATCCTTATTCTCCGTCGGCGACGAGGCAATTTTTCAATTTATGGTAAAGGTTGCGCTCTCGCAAATAGATCCGGCATCACAATTATATCGTTATCATTAAATTACAGACACGATGGACGGTTGTATGAATGCATGACGCGCACGTGAGGTTTTACCTTTACCGTTCATGTTGCATGAAAAGTTATTCAAAGCAGCTGCATTTTACTGGAGACATTATTTTTCACGCGCTTGTACATACGGAATATCGAAGCGAGATTAACACAAAGAAATTACGAAAAACGGAAATTTTTACTGCACGACATTGTAGTCTATTTTGACTTTCATTCCTTCGCAGTGCGTTGACGTTACTCCAGTGGAGAATTATCGTTATTTGCGGTCGCGGTTATCGTTCCTCGCGAAGCAGTTAAAAAATCGGTCATCATTTTTGCAGTTTTGTTGCCGCATGAGATAACTTCGTTCCTACACGAAGTTATGCGACGGGATTGCAACGCCGATTACACGTGTAAGTTAAAAGTTGTTATATGTATATATTGTATATTATGTTGATAATAAACTATATAACGAATCTCTTTATATTTTATATATCTACAATAAATTTAGTATTTTAATATAATTATATCAATTATAATATTTTGAATTAAACGATTACACAAGAAAAATAGCTAAGAGAAACATAAACGCAAGAATCAACATATCATGTAACGCAAATACAATAATAGAATCATGGATAAGAATCATATAACATGTGAACAGAGTTTATATTTACCAATTAAGAGTCTTATTTTATACTTATTAGTATTATATTCGCTATATTGCAACGCCCTACAATTCCAACCTCACTGGTCGGGGTTCGCTATGAAAGTGAAAGAGCGAACAAAATGTTCCATGCATTTATCTAAAAAGAAATCTATCTAGAAATGAAACTATAGTATTATGTAACATTCTTAAATTCAGAGCCATCTATCAGGATTAGTTTGATACAATTACCCAAATAATTATCATAATCCAATCGATAAATTTGTTCATATTCTGCTAATTTTCGCATTTTAAATAATTAGGAAACATTACTCGTATAGCCATAATATTTCCTGACGATTGATATTTTTTATATTATATATTTTTCATATTTATTGTTACACATTGCGTGTTATACGCGAGAAATATATCGTTGTAAGTACAATTGGTAAAACTCTTCAGAATAATGCGTGCGTATAATAGATTTGATTCAAAATCATGAATCCATTTTTCAAATTTAAGTTTTTGTTTTCTGTCGTCCGTATCTGAAAAGAAACAATACTGGATTCACACTGCATCCGATATGCATTATACAACGCTCTGCAACCAATCAGAAAACAGGATTTTGCTTCGTATCGATGATACGATTTTCCTGATTGGTTGCAAAGCGTCGTATGACGCATATCGGATGCAGTATGATTCCAGCATTATGTTTCCTCTCAGATTCTCTGGTAAAAGAGAACTAGACTTAGATAGTACTGCCCGTGATGTCCGTGACTTATGTAACTTTAGGGTCCGATTGTTCCATCTTTTGGTAAATTTTACCTGTTAAGGGGGTAATAAAATTTTCAAAAAATTAAAAAAAAAATTTTTTTTCGAAAGATTGATGTCTTAAAAATATGCTCCTAACAGATTTTTATAAAATTCGAAGTATTATATTTCTCGAGTTACGTGAGTCTTAGACTAGAGTCCTACGAGACGTATCCTATGAAATTGTACTACTTATGCTGGATTCACCCTGGACACAGTAAGCATCGAGCAGCAACCAACCTGCGTGAATCAGCGTGGCGATATTTTTTACGCCATTGTAAATATCGCCACGCTAATTGGTTGTTGCTTTGTTGCTTGACGCTTGCTGCGTCCAGGGTGAATCCAGCATTACTAGCAACGCGAGTTCTGATTGGCTACTGCTTTTCCGTCAAGGTGTAAACCCGCCTTTAGGTTAGGTATGTGTGTATGTACCATTGCGATGTGTACGTATGTACAATTTAGGAATTTATATATGACGCGGTCTGATAGATTAAACATAGGATTAAAAAATATTAATAATAAACCACACAATACCAAATTAAATAATATTTAACAAAGTATAAGCAAAATTTGATTATAAACAATTTTTATTATACTATTGAAGAATGTATTTATTTATAATTCTGGGATATATGTAGTTTTGCAAACTCTCTTTTGTAAAATGTATATAAGTAAAAGATAGTTAAGATTATAAGTGAAGCAGTACAAGATAGATTTGAAGATAGAAAGATGTTAAGCATAATTATATGAAAAAAGTTTTTAACCAAAGAAACTTATTGTAAAATTTAATTTATTGTGCGAACAGGATTTGTGATTTCAAAAGCGTTATACGAAGTAACATTAAAAAGATGATAATTGGGAGCTGTTTAGAAAAATAACATTATTTATACATCATTATTTATATTCGAGACTTAATGCCAAATAAAATTCCATTTAAATGTAGAGATCTACTTGGCATCGACACTGTCTTTCTTTGGTAACATACTTTCTAATTCGCCCGACTCATTCATCTCTTTTACTATATCTAATCCACCGATAAGATCTCCGTTCAAATACAATTGCGGATACGTTGGCCAATTGCTAAATTTTTTAAGTCCTTCCCTAACATCATTGTCCTGTAATATGTCAAACGATTTGTAATCTGTCTTGTAACTATCCAGAATAGAAACGATTGTTCTGGAAAAACCGCACCGTGGATTTGCAGGGTTTCCCTTCATGAACAACATGCATGGTGCTTGATTCACCAATTTCTTCAATTTATTCTCAAGAGTTTCCTTTGTTTTTGTCGCGTCGAGCAGTAGAGCATCCTTGTTGTTTAGATGATGCTTGATCTTTTCAGTCAATGCAGATATATTGACACCATCCACCCTGCTTATCACATTACTGTTCCGCAGCAGAAGAATCGTGGGTACAGCAGCTATTCCAGACTTTAGAGACACTTTGGGTACATTTTCTGCTTCAATCTTAGCAAACTTTACTTCCTTATACTGCTCCAGCTTGATCATCTCCTCAAATACGTCGTTTACTTGGGAACATTGCTCTGCCCAGGGTGCATAAAAGTGTACGACAGAAAGTTCCTGGGACCTAATACAATAAACACATTTATAAAAAAAAACATAAAAGAAAATTGTGAAAGACAAATGAACATTTATCATACTCGAGTATGGACGATTCCGTTATACATATATTCGTTACATATATATTATATGAAGAGAAGGAAGCATTAATTCTCAATAGAGAATAAAAAAATGCTAATTATCATATTATGTCATATTTTTATTCTGAAAGCGACCTATCACTCGAGAAATATAAAACATTTATTTTACAAGACGTGACATTGGATTAAAATAATTTTAGAAATAAAATTTATAAAAAATTACGATCACAATTTTATCTTATTTTTAAATTTCCATGTTAAAGAAAAAAGTTTCTAAAAATTTCCACAGTAATAAAATGTCTAAGGCCCGGCTTCTCCAATGTAAGGTTAACTTAATCTCGGTTCAATTTTAAGAATTAGAAAAAGGTAAACAGTAAATTGAATCGAAATTAAAGTTAACCTTACATTAATGGAATCGTGCCTAAGTAAATAAAGGTTGTTCTCGCAAGAAAGATATTTAGTATAGGTATGAGAAGAGGTTATAAAACTTCTTTAAAAAAAAACCCCTGGTGCTCCGATCACTCACTTGACAAAGTCATCGAATGCCTGCTCCGTGGCCAGTTCGGTGATAGCCATCGCGTCATTCGCTTCTAATTAGCCGGTTACTTCTTGTTCTACTCCACCGAAAAATGATTCGTAATACCAGAGAGAAAATCCTTGATAACAAACTCCAATAACGTCTACGCGACCATCGGCGTCGCACTCATGGCCGCAAGTAGATCGTCTCTCAGCGCAATCGCGTCGCTCGACGGGAGTTTCCGGAATTAGAAGATCGCCGCGATTTTAATTTATAATCAATAATTTATAATATATATATAATCGATATATTTTTATTGATATCTTTTTCGCCATCATCATTCAAATATTGACAATACAGAAAATATAAGTAAGTAGTATGTAAAAGTAAGTAGTTTATATAAATAAAAAAATCAGTGTTATTATTTTTTAACGTATTTCGTAGCAAAATCACAGAAAATATTATATTAAATAGCCTAAGTCTTGATCATTTGTTGTAATTAGAATATTATTAAAATTAAATTAATAGAGTTAAAGATTGTTTTACATTTTTGTTTATATAAGTTAAATAAATATAAATTTTACAAAGTGTTTTAGTTTCCTAAATCGTACCACAATCTGACCTACTAAATATTTTCATATTTTGCATACATTTCTGTTTCATAATTTATTATTATGTAAAAACGTACATTGTAAATGTACGATGTTTATTTTGTTTCACATAAAAACTCCTTATTAAATTCCTTTTTTTTTATGTTTCTTGTAATTAAAAAATTTTTTTGCATTATTATTATTTTTTGAATGAGGATTTTTTCAGTATGATGCGATTTCGGATTATTTTTTACATCATATTGAAAATATCTTTTCATATATGATCCTCATATAAATAATTTATAATATATATATATATATATATTATTAATAAAAATATTGAAACAAGATTGTTGAAATATTTCTTACTTATTTGTTATAACTGTTACAACTTTTACTAAAACTATCGAACGCCGACTAATTTCGTTTCACAATCATTGTCGATTACAAATGAGAGCTTATATGACTCATTCGTATTTCCAGTGAAGGGGATATAAGCCTTGACGAAGGGGAGATTTAGGTTTTCAACAATGTATCAAATATCATTTATTTGTATATCATTTTCTTTTTTTAGTATTCCTTCAAAAGAGAGGAAATCGAACTAATCAGGAGAGTCAACAGAAATCGAGATCACATGTCACAGGAGTCATATGTCAAAGATAATACTCGGACAGTCGAAGACACACGAGCGTGAAATTAGAAATAGATCATAATTCATGCAAATATGCAAGGGGGGGGGGGGAGAGCCAGGGTCCTCACCTTGCGCGAGACAGGCCTGGGAACGCAGGTGCGCCACGAGAAATTGACCAATCGCGCGAATGGACACTGGCGAGGGTGGTGGTCACGAGAACGACGAGAAGAGAGAAGGGGAGACCTGTCAGACGGTCGCGCGGTCACAAAAAGCCGATGCAGACGTCGTCGGACGGTGAACGTGCACGTGCGGTGATTAGTTTTTTTTTTTTTCCCTTCTTCGCGCGCGCGTGCGGTGGCCCGCGATGTCCAAGAAGCTATCGCGGGCCGATGCCCTCGGCAACATCTCCGCCTGGGACACAGAGGGAGTGTTGTGCCTGTTGCGCAAGGTGAGTGAAGTTCGTCGCGGTTGGCTTTAGCTTCCGCCGCGGTTGCGCCTCACTTCGCGCCGCTCGAGGCAGGTCGCGGAATAGATGCAACTTCTCGACGGACACCGACTTACTGTCAAAGGCGCGGCGCGACCGGGGCAACGTCAGGAGCACCGCGCAACAGGATAGAAAGAGACAGAGAAAGATACGAGGCGCACGTGCGCATCCAAAGCGGTAAATACGCGAGTATTTATAGCACGACTTCTATATGAGAGGAGAGGATCGCCGCGGAAGAGGCGCGAGCGGGCTCACCAGGATTCCTTTAGCGATTTTCCGACAATTGAGTCGAGGTTACCGACCTTTGCCGGTTTTCTGTCTCGTTCACGACTTCTCCACGAACCTCATACCCGTAATTTTTTTATCTTTCTTCAGAAACGTATTTATTATCTTGTATGCACAGAGAAAGATACTGACGGGATCAAGAGAATACAGTAAATCAAATTCGCACTCAAAGAGAGCGCAGAAATCTAACAGATATTTGAATGTTTTGGATAATTAGAGTTGGCGAGATGCGAAAAGGATCTGTAATTTTACTGTAAAAATAGATACAGATGCTTTGTGATGCAACTATAACGTTTATCTTACCCAAATTATAAACGTATCTAAAGAAAGTTTCGAAAGTGTCTCAGAGATATTTTTTATAGATATGTTGTCTATAAGGCACATTTGGAAACATCGCCATCAAAGTGGGCCCGTGTCATCATTTTTTCTTGTTTAATATTCGATGAATAACGAGAATGAATGAGATCATAAGAGAGCATTCGAGTGGTGTTTCTGAACGGAAAGATTGGATCTTTGTACTTGTATTGGTTTAATATTAATATATAAATTTCACATTATTTTATCACACAGTAACATCTTTGTTTCTTTAGAAAGACGAACTTCTGATTCACATACATATAACGAGAGCGTTTTGCCTAAAGCATTGATTATCAAGCATTAAAGACACTTCTGAAGAACGCGGCCGGCGAAAGGGACGCATTTGCATTTCTTTGCGCGCGATCGAGATTGCGCTTAACTTTCACGCATTCCTCGATAAACGCGTTTGCCAGTTTAAGGCAACGATCGTTGTTTCTTTACCGCAACTTTATTTTCCTTACTTCACGGAAGAGATGTTACTCGGCCCCGATTTCTTCTTCATAATCATCGTTCCGTACGACTAAAACATAAATTAATTATAGATTCTTTTTTTACCGAAATATTTAATTTTTTATAAAATATAAAAATCTGAAAGTGTATTGAAATTAATGAGCGTAATATACATATATATATGTATTCTTTAAATGAATTGATATCTCAGAAATATTATAACTGCGTACCGATTACTTTTTCGGATTTTCAACCGAAAAATCAATCTAAAATATTGATAATCCCTCAAATTTCACTAAATTATACTAAATTATATATTCTTTAAGTGCTTCTATGAGCAATAAACAGAATTAAGTTATCTGGTATACTTTAGAGGATAAAAGCCAAACAAGCGGTCAGATATACCCAGAGAGCACAAAACATTTATGATACATATTTATTACTATTTATTTTTTCAAATGTTATATAAATATTTTATATATATTTTATAAAAAACTTTATTTGAAATATTAAAATACTAAACATTTTATGTAATATTAACGATAAATGTAAATCAAAATTTTAATAAGTATTTTTTACTTGGATTATAATGATTAAGTATTTTTAATTTACAAAATATTTAAAATAAATCTTATGAATACAAATATTTTATAAATATTGTGTGCTATCTGGGTAATACGATATATAAAACAAACAAAAGTACCTTTTTAAATCAACACAAAGAAGAATTTTCTTCCAGTGTAAACTATTTTCTGATTTTAATATTTCCAGAAACAGATACACAATACATTTTTGTTGTTAGAAGAGCATCCCTAACTTGGAACAAACAAGAATAAAGTATCTTCTAATATCGAGACAGAGAGCATCAATTGCAGTGTCAAACTATTTCATAGTTATCATGTTTTACTCGTTTAACGTTTTGTTAGCTCAATTTTATTCATTACTTCTAAAAGCACTTAAAGAGTACTTAATTTTGTATTTCCTTTTTGTATTTTAGATTGGCTTTAGACATTCTTGGCATTAACGTAGCACTGCCTTCTTCAAACATGGATTCCTGCTAAACAGCTTAAGCTCTAAAATTAGGAATAGATAATATTGAATGAGTATCTATATTATAATTAACATTTAATTTTTATATCTTATTCCGATTTTAATAGAGGTCTAACCGAGTTTTTTCCCGTGATTCACATTAAAAGGATATGAAGTCACACAGCAAGAAAACAATGGGAAAAGTAGGAAATATTTTATCCTACCTATTGTAGTAGTCCATCAATGATATATATGTAGAAATGTTAAAATTAGATAAGTATCCGCGCGCAGTTATGTCTATGAAGATACTTTTATCTCGACACATTATTATCGGACCGAATTTCCTCTTTTCATATTATTATAATTAGAGAACTCTTGATATGTGACAGATATCAATATATATATATATGTGTGTGCGTATTCCTTATCAGTATCGTGTATCCTGTTTCATTAAGAGTATTTCTTCATTTACAGAACGGACTGGAAGAATGTTGCAAGGCTGTGGCGAAACGGCAAATCGACGGCGATGAGTTGCTGGTGAGTCAATTAGTATATTGCTATGAAGAGAACTACCGTTCAAGCAATTTTATGATTTTCGTCTTCGGTTAATCCATTCCATACCTCGCCGGTATTCCTGTCAATAACCCTTAAGCCACTCGAATTCGGAGTGTCTTAAAAAATGGAGCGTCCAGATACTGGAATTGTCGGTCTTAATCGCGTTATGTGTGATTTAACCGATAAATTGAAAAATACTATGTTTAACGGATATTGAGAAAATATCAGCAATATTTAAATATTCTAGTTAAATTTTATAAATAATATATATGATTTTTCACATATTAATTATTATACGCCTAATTTGAATTTTTTACAGTTTATATTTTAACTTGTAAGAGAACATTTCTAGATTGTAATTACACTTACCATATTTTTCTATATGTATTAAAAAAATGTGTATTTTACAGATAATTCTTGACACGAGAAATAAATGATATTTAATCTGTCTGAAAATGTTTTCTCGACTACTTAATAAATTTCCAAAATTGCTGGTTTAACTTGTAATTAGATACTTGTAAGAGTGCTAGGCGAGCAATAATTATCTACCCACTTCCACTGATAATACACGGACTGCATTTTTTCCGGTTGCAACAGCAATATATTTCAAACAGCCGACGGCGACGCGTGCTCTCTTAACGGGACCTTAATTAATTGTAATTATTTCAGCACTTGACGGATGGGAAGCTGGCTCTCTGGAAGAGTGACCTCACGCGTCCACTGATAGGGTGAGAGAACGAACCAAATCCAGTTTCATTTCTACCCGCATCGTACTATTTTCTCTACTCTTCTCTTCACGGAATCATATCTCGCGATCTTCTCTCATAACGCGTCCTCTCTTAACGGTATTAGATTATTCAGTATGCGAACAACTCGTCGCATTCACATACCGTTTACAAGTGTTTACATACTTAAGGAGCATGAACATAAGGCATAATCCGACTAGCTATTTCTTAAATAGAAATTCTTAAATAGAAATTTCTTAAATAGAATACATGATTAACACATGATTTTAATGTCATCTCGTTTTTATATCTTTGTATATTTTTAAATCTAGAATCTATATTCCTCAAAATAATTTTCTAGTATCAAGAAATTACTGATTTATAATACGACGCAGCAAGAATATGCTACGTAGCTTCTTTATAAAGACGCCGTCGCAAGCTATTTGCCTGGATGTTTCGCGCGACTGGATAATTATTTGATGACTGCAAGTTGTGCATAAATGCATAAGTCTACCGCGTGGGTCGTATTCGATCATTCCACTCCACATTCATGTTGATTTAACATTTTACGGTTTAACGTTTTACACTGTTCTTTATTGCTTAACACAATTCTCTATTCCTCTTGCATGAAAGATTTTATTATAAGAGATGTTATAATAGATTAATGTTCTTTTAGTATTGATTAAAAAAATAATGACAATAATAAATTCAATTAGATTAAAAATCAAATTAAAATAAAAGTAATAATGCCAATAATAGGCCGATAATAAATATTCGTATGTGAATTTATTAGCAAGATTAAAACAATATGTGATAATAATAAGTTAAATATTGGTCCTGACAATACTCATATTCGCAAATAATCTACACACATAATATTCAAATTAAAATAATAATAGGCTACGAACTAAAATAAACTGAATATTTATTAGAAGAAATTTATATGATGATTCATACATGGTAAATAATTGTTTAAATATTGTATTGTACCATAACACAAAAAGAAAACGGCTACTAACCAAAAATCGCTTTAAAGTATTTATCGGCGTTGACCATACTCTTAGTAATGGCAATTTTTATATTTTAAAGTTTAAACTACTGTTTACGATATTCGTATTATAAATACAATACAAAATGACTTGTTTAATATTGAAAATGTGATCTGATAGTCAAAACGTCTCTTTTATTGTTTATTATCATCATTATATAAATTTTAGCAATAAACATCCAGCTTGTATTATTATTGCCGCCTGTTATTATTTCAATATTAATTACTCCTGTCGCAGAAAATTATGGTCATTTGTGCAAGAATTGAACAAGTCTCCAGAACTATATTTGCCGGAGATTATAGAGGTGCAACAAAACGATGATCATTTGAGCGATAGCGGTTCCTGGGGAACTGATTTCGAAGATGAAACAGCCGAGGAAAAGAATTCTACCGCAAATATGCAAGAAATCATCAAACCAAGTCTAATCAAGAATAAGCAAGTGTTTTTACAGAATAATAGGATACCAATTAGTAGAATACCAATGCTACAGTCAAAGAAAATAATAAAACCAGAGCAGGAAGAGACTTACGCCAATTGCAAATCTTCTCAAGACGAGGAAGAGAATATGTATGCAAATTGTCAGGAAACGAAATCACCGCCGATGAGAAATGTTTCAAGACTGCACAGTGAGTTGGAGAAGACTCTAGCTGGGAAACTTAAGTTGGAATTGGAAGAGTTGAAGCGGAGAAACTGTCCGACAAAGAAACCTGAGATCAGGCCAAAACCAGAGACTCTACCATTGAAAAGAATTCCGATGACAGCTTCCGATAAGAAATCTCCGCAGAAATCTTTTCTGTACAATACACCAAAGATGCACGAACGTGTTCCTAATGAACAAAGCAAGACACAAAGTTAGTCCTTTTAAAATGTCTTGATTTTTTTTTTACATGAATTTTTATTTTTTAATGATGTAATATTAATAAATATTATATTGCTTGGGTTTCTAGGAAGAATGGGTGTGCCGCCGCCACCGGAACCCAAAAGAAACAAGGATTACCCGTTCGTAGAAATCAAGAAAGGAGTCGATAAGGAGTTATCGAAACCACCAGTCATCTTAAGAAATTTTGACCTTGTGGCAAATTTACCAGCACAAACGGAAGAGAGCGAGGACGAGTACGAACCATTCGACGAAAATATAATTGAAAAGAATGAAATCTCGCGAGTCGATAGCAAGCAATCGTTACACAGCGGTCGTCAGGGATCAGTCGAAAGCGTTTACAAGCCTCCTAGCGCTGCGAGTCACGAGGAAGAGGAGGATTACGAGATTTATGAGTCTATCACGGAAACGGTAAGTTAAAACGGTCTTCAATGGCCTCTTCACAATTATGCTTATGGGATAGTGAATTATTTATGTTACTGTCATGTTGCATTAGCCAGAGGATAATGATTACTTAAGCCCCCTTCAAAGGACAAATGATACACAAGAACCACCTCCTTTACCGGCCAAACCATCTCCGCCTCCACCGTCTTCAACTCTTTCCAGTAGAACCAGATTAGAAAAAGGTACGTGTATTTCTCAACATTATATAAACAGAGTATGATTAAACAAGCAAATAAAAAATATTACAATTTCATATAAAATATTATAATGATACAATCTTATGAGTATTAAATTCTGTATTGGTAGATTATTTTTTAGATTACATTTTGATCTTATTGATGATAATGCTTAATGGAAAATTATAAACGATCATTTTTTTTTTTTAATATAAAGCTTGTTCTTTATAACTGCACCAGTTCAGATCGTGCAAAAATAAAGAACAGATCTAAAACTTGAGAACACTTGAAAAAATCTTGAAAATAGGAAAATTTTATTTGTTACTACTCAATATATTTATTATGTATAACTTATCTGAAACGTGATTAGATATATGCAAACCATTTGTACGAATTCGTTAGTAGGACATTAAACGTATTAACGATGTTACAAAACATACGTTCTGGTGATGGAGAAAAAATGCAGGGTATCGTAGACTCGAGACGAGAGAGGAGTGCAGGATCATTCGTAAGAACTTCTGAGCATATGTTTGACAAATGCTGCTTATTGTTGGTTCCCATGCAACCTGATGCGCATTGCCATCGTAGTACTGCGGACAGTCGCATATCAGCCACCGTCATCAAGGCTGGATTCACCAAAACGCAACGTTTTCTCTTTGTGATAGTAAAACGATGCAGAATAGTGTTTTGTCATACACAGTATGTCAACGATGTCGGCGCAATTATTTGTTACTTTTCGTATGAAAGAAGTCAAAGCGGGACCTTCGACCTTCAATATGAATAAAAGATTTCAAGCGTCGGGCGGGATAAATCGTCGTGGACTTTCAATTCAAGTGTGAGACAACAGTACGAAACATCAAGTTGTGGGATAACATAACGAGACTATAACATTCTAGGTCTGTTTTCTATAGCTGAACTAGTGTACAAGTATATGTTTGTTATTTGGTTAAAACAAGAAAGAATATTTTAGTGTAGTCTAATGCAGAAATAAAAAAAACAAGGCCTGTTTTCGACTGATCTAACTATATAGGTCTGTTTTTTTTAATACTTAAACTAGTATAAACTTTTTGTACCTAAAGTGAAATAGGCATATGTTTGATATTTAATAGTATATTTGGCAATAGCGAGAAGGAAAGTTGTAGTACAGGCTCAGGTGCAGCAATAAAAAGTAAATCTAATCTGTGTATACAATGAATTTTTTGTAAAAGAAACGAAACGATGAGTTGCACAGACAGAGAAGAATCTACAACAAATACTAGCTGTTTCTAATTGTGATTTGTACGACGTGCGTGCTAAGAACCGCGATAAGCATATAGAAGAATTCGATAAGAGATCGAGAGAGCGAAATACTGGGTAATGGAATGTGTTCCTGTTTTTATCTGCGTCTGAGCAAACAGCTCCTAGGAGGCTTGGGCACGCGCCTAGCCGATGAGGTCGCTGATATGATAGTGCGGATCAAGAGAGGCCTGTCTACGTGTTGTTATTCGCAACCACCTGAGCCGCCAGGTACACAAAATGATTAAACAACGCATTGTTCGATGACTTATCTGCATTTGCTCCGATGTCATGCGATCGTAGTATTATGTGAGAATGTTTCACTAATAGAACATCTGCTCGCTTTTTATTTACTGAAGGTCGTCGAATTTTGACGGACGGAAATAAATTTCGGAATCTTGCTTTCCGTACGCGTCAATTTTCGATAATTATATAATATAATTTGATATTATGCCTTAACAATGTAATTTGTAATTAATATTTGCAATATAATGAAGATAAGATTGTCCATATTACCGTAATATCGGTAAATAAATTATTAAAATTGACTTGGCAAAAATACTTCTGAAATAACATAATCTTATAAATCGTACATAAATCTTATAAAATATTATTCATTTAGGTATATTATATTTAGTCTATTAAATTTAAAAACTTTCTCGATATTAAAAATACAAGTGATCTTTCTTTTGTGTCATTTACTCCAACAACCTGAATTCATGTTGATAATTGTTACTCACGTGATTTCTATATCTTACATTTTAGTTCACTACCTTAGGAAAGAACACGCGCTACTGACAATTCCGTTTTCTTTTTACAAGGAAAATCACTTTTATTGGATCTTTTATGTTTCCCGTAATCTGCATAGGATCGTTGACTCTCCCGTTCTAATTTACGGAAGATATTCTTGAAACACGCTTCGGATGTCCCATGCCGAGAGACCAACGGATTGACCACTTTTCTTTTTTCGCGATGCTTTAAAAGGCTCGCTCTGGAGTTAAATGTCAGTTTCACCGGAATTTTTACGGCAATCGTGTCATATACGCGTTCTTCAAATCAGTCCGTTTCCGAAGAACGTATTCTAGATGATTCTAGAAATTTAGGACACAATATACTGTTGATACTGCTAAACGTGTTCGCACCAAGATATACGTAACAAATTCGCGACACAATGGCAACTATAATCAGCGATACAAAACGAAATATATCGCTCAATACGACCGTACGCCGGCAAACGAATTTTTCAGAGTGCTTGACACAGGAGACTCTTACGCAAGCTCGACTTAACTTAGCAAGTTAGTAATGTGATTGACCTGTATTTTAACACTAAACCGCCGATGTGTTAATCTGGCCCCACTAATAAATGCTTTCCATTTAATGATACAAGTTCAACAACAAAGATGAAACGTCACATATGTCGACTTATATCATCAAATGAAAAACAATTATTTCAAATTTTTTTTTATTAGATATACAGTACAATATATTGAAAATATATGTGAATATAATGCAAATATTTCTAAAACGATACAAATAATATCAAAATAACTTTTCAGTAAATGAAAATAAAAATAGGAAATTATTAAATTATCTTTACTTTTAGTAGTTTCAGCAAGATTTCATCGGCGATTTTAGTGTTAATGAGAAGATTTTTACACAATTTTGTACAACGATTATATTTTACGGTATATTGTCTTCATTTTTATAAATCAAAATTCTTTTTAAATTATATAGTTGATAAATTACTCTTTTGACAACACAAAATTTTAATATCTTAATATATGTACATTTTGCTTTCATTCTTTGGAACTGTATTTATTGTACGAATGTAAAAAGTATCACACATTGATACCTGTATTATATTAATAAATACGTGGCAATTATTGTATCAATTTACACATTTTTTTTGTTTGTTGGTCTTGATCTTTTTACACATTTGCAGAACGATCACCGGATAAAAAATCAGCCACGTTACCTCATGCTGGCAGTAACACTTCGCTGTCAACCGAAAGAGCCACACGGCCGCTACCACCGCCTCCTGAAAGATCTTATATAGACAAGCCTTGGTTTCATAATATTTCGAGGGAACAAGCAATTATTCTTATCAAAGAACGTATGTATTAACCGGTTTTAAAAATTAAAATTATATTTCTAATGCTTAAAAACTTTACAAAGAGAAACACGAGCATAAATTTTTTTTAACTATCAAAATTAAGATCGTGTGAATTAATTTAGAATACAATTATAGTAGAAATATCGAAAAATAAAAATATATATAGGAACAATCTATAATACAGTAGAAATATCTTATTAACATATTTTATTTACTTTATTAGTTTTTTTATTATAAGACTTTTTACTTAAGGTATAAGAATAATATAGAATTTATAATTTGATACGAGATAGAGCTATTGAATATATAACTGTACATTTTTAGAAGGTACTTACAGTAATCCGCAAGACGGATATTTTCTTTTGAGACCGTCGACGACAAATCTTGGTAGTCCATTAATCTTGGTTCTTTGGTACAAGGATAGGGTCTACAATGTTCCCGTCAGAAAAAGAATTGACAACAGGTATACATCTTGTTTATTAATTTTATTATTGTACAAATTCAGACACTTCTTACCGTATATATTTAATAACTTCGAATCTAATTTTAACTGTAGTGAAAAATATGTTAATATTGTATTGACTTGATAAAATGATTGGACAAAATTTTATAAGACCAACATTTTATACATAACTAAAAAATTTAGTGTGTCATTATTTTAATGTGTCTTATTTTATATTAGTACAAATACACGAAAATCATCTTTTTCTATTGATAATTCGCATGTAATACTAGTAAAACTATTTTTTGTTAATTTATTATTATAAAAAAAAATTTAGTTTGAAAAAATGTTACTTACAATTATTTAGATACGCTTTGGGCTCCGCGAAAGTAAACGAGCTGTCTTTCTCAACGGTTGAAGAAATCGTAGTGTTTCATATGAAGGAGGAACTCATGCTCTACAGTGGCGGCGTACAGACCGGAAGTACTAGATTGACTGATACTCCACCAAAGTGATTTTAGTCCACTATGTTCAATTCCACTTTAGGCAGGAAGAAAGGATCTTCGTCGATAATTTCGCTGTACATAAGAGTTATACGCGACGTGTATAAACACTGCCGAATAAACATTTTTGCTAAATATTTCAACATTATAAAGAATACGCTGACGAACAAGAATTTAAGTGGTGCCTTTGTACATTTATAGTAGATACATGAATTAATCGTTTTCGTAATCGCGTTGCATAAACATTGCTATTTTAATGCTATTCCAATGACAAGTTCTGATTCGATTTCTATGTCTAAAATATCTCGATAATTATGCGTGCCTTCGATAAAATGACGTAATAAGCTCGAATATTGAATGGATCTCTAATTGTGGTAAACATATATTTTTAATATATATTTTTATCTCTTACTAAGTAGATATATTAGGGACAAAAGTTCATAGCGCTACTTTATTTGTATCATGTTTAGATGCTTAAAAATATATATATATATACTATTTGATTGAGCAAAGTTTCAGCTTTAGAAATTTATGTTTTTTTAAATTACTGTGCGCGCGCGATGATTTTTAATAGAGCTTTTATGAGCAATTAAAGTAAAAAAATGCTTCTTTTATTTATTACCCTCGGTAACAATATTATAGAGGCATTATAAAACGATTTTGTAGAAAAAACTCACGTTACAAAATTGAAAATTTTTGCAAGTTTTTTTGGGTCGTAGCAGCCCACAAAGTGGAAAAAATTTCATTTTTCCTGCTTGTAGTTTTCTGTATGTAAAAATTACCAAATTTATAGAAATTCAAAAAATATAGCGACCTTTTGAAAGTTGAGACTTAAGTTTTAAAACTTTTCTTTTTAAGTTTCGTTTATTTTAATAAAAAGTTATATTCTTTAATTGTGAAGTTTGTAGCATTACGAACTTTTGTTCCAATCCAATATTTATGGTCGATATGCATATAAGAGAGTAGTTTCTAAGATAAATTTGTGAATGCTTCGTTATATAAGCGGGGAAATAATATCGTATTGTTATTTTTTTATCAGTATTGTTATATTTTCGTCCACACGTCGGTCACTTTTTTGATCTATGGCGACTGATGACTGATTGTGTGTACGTGGACATCTTTTAGCTTTCGAGGAATGATGACGTGTATAAAGATTTTATTAAATCTTTCTTAAAAAATTATTCAAATGCTTCTCTATGCATACACCAGACAAACGTTTGCACATCCATGAATGAAACGGCGCAATACTGATCCTATCGTTCTCTTCCGTAGCTGTTTACGTTTCTCTTGTCTCTCATCCTCTTCCTCATCAATTGCGACTGTGAGTAATTCAATTTTGTAAATGTGAATCATACGAGTTTCGTATATACGTCTGCACCGCTTAACTATATCTTGCTTTCTACCAAGAATGTGGTAGAATTGCTTTTACTGATAACGATAACGCCGACCAAGCCGTCGAACGTATTGATAAACGATTTCGAAGTTGGTACTGTTATTGCGTGATCAGTAGTGGAATTTCATCGGTGGGCGAAGTTGATTCCTGTTGTGAGGAAACTTCCGTCGATCGATCGTCGTAGACTCGTGTAACTGTATATGTTATCTCTTTTCGCGTGATCGCGACGATCATCATCTACGATTGAGTGCGTGCTTTTGAATTGTGAGCCAAGTTAATTGATGAAAGTAAAATCATAGTCCTTCATATTAACTTAGGTGTTGTGAGTTGATATATTTAACCTGATTACTTAAGGACTTGATGATTTCGGAAGAAGGAAACACTTGTGATAAATAAATCAGATCTCTAGATAGATATATTTTTCATTAAATATTTCTGACATTTAACGTAATAATTAGAAACTACTGTGTCGGTAAAATTCGTGACATTTGAGCGCTAAATGTTATCTAGTAATAATCTTTCTTTAATATAATGGGGCGTATTATCGATATTGTATCTGTTTATGTGCACAGAATTTCGCACGAATTTAATTTGAATTAATTTGTAAGTCATTCATATTTAATTTTAACAAAAATGTTTAGCATTAGTCAAGCTAAATTTATAGACCATTATGTCTGAAATACTCGAAAGTTTGTAGTTGAAGAATACAGCTTCTACGTTTAGTTTCCTACGTGCTTTTCTGTCAAAACTATCCGACGTTTTTATGTCAGGAAGAAAAAGAAATTTTTCGGAGATTCTGGCTACGTTTAGTTTAAATGCTTTCACCACTTATATCCTCATGGACTATCCGATAATCTAATGAACGATAAAAATAGAATGATGATAAGCGCTTGAGCGTCTAAACCGAACACAGCCTCAGTTTCCTGCTTTCCGGAAACCTGTTTGAAAGTACGCGCGAGAATGGCCTGCGATCACGTGGACGTCGTGAAGGTCGTGGTCACAAGTATATGATCGTGGACGAGGCCTAGTTACATTTTGAGAACACGTTTGCGATGCGTGGTACCTCCAGTGACGGATGCATCTGCGGTATAAAGGGTAGGCAAGAAAGAGAGAGAGAGAGGGGGGACGGCGGGATGAACGGATTATACGACGAATTTGTGCGCACCGTTTCATTAACTGTTGACAAGTGGAGCCGTCAATTGAGCGCCTCATTCGGCACTATCACTTAGGTAACTTTTGCAGGCGCGGATTTAAGCGAGGCGTGTTGAGCTGCGTGTTGAGCTGCGAGGAGGAGGAAGAAGATGTTGTCGTGAAACCCCAACTTCGACCTGGCCCCCGGCAGGCACTACGGATGCGATAAACAATGTTGACGTGAGTCAATGGCGCTCCGCGAGCAAGAGGACGTCGCAAGGGACGGGATAAGACGAGGGTGAGAGGAGAGCGAAAGCAAGATTACGGAACGATGTTACTGCCTGCACGAGTAGATAAGACGTGTTAATCGTGGAGAACGCTGATCCAAGAGCGATGGATGATGAACAGCCGGCGAGGGAGGCCAATAAGATTTGTGGAGTCTGTGGTGACCGGGCACTTGGTTACAACTTCAATGCTGTCTCTTGCGAGAGCTGCAAGGCCTTCTTCAGGAGAAACGCACTAAAGAACAAGGTGAATTCTGCTCCGATTTGAAGCATTTCTATTTGACTACCTTGCAGAGTAAATAATCTTAATTTCATATTCAGAAAACTTTGATTTTGAATCTAATTGATAATCCTTGAATTCGTAGAAGCTCCAATGAATTTTCCATTCATATAATTATTTCTGAGGAAATTGCTTTAAAAAGAAATTCAATTTTATCTTCCAGCATTAATTTTAATGTCGAGAAATATCTTTCTTAACTTTAAATCTGACTTAAAAAGATTAAATAAACTTATTGGATAACTGCATATGACTCATTATAGTAATCTGATGTTTTATAAACTTCAAATTCTTAAAGAAATAAATTATATCATTGTTAATTGTACTAGTTTGAATCATTTCAAAAGAATTTGAGAAGAAATTAATCTTAATACTAAAGAGAATTTATAATTTAAATTCAGTTTTTTCAAAAAGTGGATTAAATATTTCTTAAGCCGAAAGATTTCTTTAATTTTCTAAAATCAATTAATAATTTTATGATTTGAAGATCTTGTTATTGAGAAGAATTTTTTATTGGTCGATTCAAATAGAAAATGATTTTTTTTACACGTCATCTATGTTACGTACGTAAATTCGTAATTTGTTTATAAATACACTGATTAGAACTTTTTATTTGATCTTTCAAAAGATTAATAATGAATGTATACAAAAAATGCAATTATTAATCTTGTAAAAGCAACATCTGCATATTGAAATTTATTGATAATGGATTGTTTAAGAACATTAGAGATAAGATGTATTTTCTTTCAGATACTTATTTTTAGCATTTAAAATTGACTTTTTTTGCATTTGAAATAATTTTTATTGAACAGGTCAGAAAAAATTAATTGATTTATTTGTGAGATTAATTAAAAACAGATCGATACAGATATCAAGATAACGATTCTTTGCTTATATATATGAAATTTATAAGAATGTTATCAGTAAATATATAAAATAGCATACTTAATATTTTAGATTGAAAAGAAGCGTGTATTCTTGTTGCAGGACTTTAAATGCCCCTTCACGGAAAACTGTAACATCACGACTATAACCAGACGATTTTGCCAAAAATGTCGTTTGGACAAATGTTTCAACATTGGCATGCGCAAGGAATATATTATGTCTGAGGAGGACAAGGTTCTAAAACGTAAGAAGATCGAAAAGAACCGCGCAAAGAAACGATCTCAGCTTGATAATGGCAAAACATCGAAGACCAAAAAGGACTGTGTAGATGACTGTACATTTGAAGACACATCAATGTCGGTCAATTCAATCGCGTCAACAATATCAGAAACCTACTTTTGGGAGTCCGATAGAAAATACACAGACCTAGACAGTAATAGGCAAAACGTCGAAAGTATGAGCCCAGTGACAGCAGCGAGCGTTCCGAGTCCTTCAAGTCCACCAGAGAATACGAATATTGCTGAAACAAAAACATTGGACATGCTAAAGGAGTCCGCACACGGTTTGAGGACTAATCTTGCGAGGTATGGCTAACTTATCTAATATGTAAAGAACAGCATAGAAGTGAAATCATTAAATTGATATTGTCTGTTTACAGTCGCGCAAGATTCGCCGATCTTAATGTGGCGCCTCAGAATGTTGGGACGGACAAAAACTCTTCTTTGAATTCAGGGAGATACGAACAAAATTCACTGCAATTTAATTCCGAGTTTGCAGATGTTAATCGTGAATCATCAAACTATAGTTCTGTGTTTGAAGAAAATGTGCCGAATTATTCTAAATTTGAACAAACTCGCGAACAGAATTCCTTCATCGATCACGTTTTACAAAACGAGATAAGTCAGTCTAACTTGGGTTCGTCGTCGCAACTTACGAAAGAGGAAACATCAATATGTCAAAAGCCGAAGGAAACATGTTCAAGCGGAAGTAATTTGATCACAAAGTTTAAACAGAATCCTAGTCTACTAACAAAGTTCGTCAGTAATCCAAATTTAGTTGCGAAAATATTTCAAGATCAGAGAATAATAATGAAGATTATCACGGATCCTGATATGATCACGTGCTTGGCAACGGATCCGTATATCACGCAATTCTTGGAGGAAAACAACGCAATCGATACGACAAACACTGGGCGTGGTGTCAAAACAAAAGCTCAATCTAGAGAAGCTCCGGAAAATAATAGCGATTCAAGTGATTCTAGATATACGTCAAAATCTAAAGGAAGCCATGTGGAAAATCCAATCCTGACGGACTTGATTACAAACCGTAACTCGGAAGATTGCAAAGATCAAAATTTAGAACCTAATACAAATACAGACTGGAATAAAAATACAGCTGACGTTACCAGAGATATTCTTCAGGACGTTCAAAGGTAGCCAGATACATCACATAGGTGTCATATTTTAATGATACGATATGAAATTCGCTATTAAAAGTAATATTTGTTTCAGGATAGCAATTGCTGCTAATTCTATAGAGTCCATCTTATGTGAAGCCATCAAGTTAGAATACTCAGCATTTTCTAGTTTCGGTGGTAACCAAAGCAGCAGGGAATTGAATGACGCCGAGAGAGCGAAATTGAATGAGCTGATAGTTGCTAACAAAGCATTATTAGCTCCGTTAGACGATGATATAACAAATTTAGTTGACGAGGACTGTAAATTTAAAGTAACACATTCAAAATGTTATATCTTTCGTATACACAATTTGAGGAAGAGAGATAATAAAATAAAATATTTATTTGCAGAGTAATTTTGGACAATCTGATCCAATGTTATTAGACGTTATAAATTTAACGGCTATAGCGATTAGACGCTTGATAAAGATGTCTAAGAAGATAAACGCCTTTAAGAATATGTGTCAAGAGGATCAGTTGGCTCTGTTGAAAGGTGGCTGTACGGAAATGATGATTTTAAGATCGGCTATTAATTACGATCCGGATAAAGACATGTGGAAGATACCCCATAGTCAAGAGAGCATGTCAAGTATCAAAGTTGATGTTCTAAAAGAAGCAAAAGGAAATTTATATGCGGAGCACGCAAGGTTTGTCAGAACATTTGACCCTCGCTGGCGGGATGAAAACATCATTTTGATTTTAAGTGCAATTGCTTTGTTTACTCCCGATAGACCGAGAGTCGTACATGGTGATGTTATTAAATTGGAGCAGGTAAGTTGGAATTTTTAAAGTGAATTATTCTAAAATATTCTTTCATACATTAAAATATGTACATGATTTACAGTAAAATTTATATAATGGTAAATCAATATAGAAGTGTTGATAGTTTATAACATGTTTTGTTTTAAGTAGTCTTACTTTTTTTATCTGGTATAAAACAGATTTAGAAAATTAAATATGTTAAATTGTATTTTTCATAAATTTTTTTTTCAGAATTCGTATTATTATCTCCTCAGACGGTATCTCGAAAGTGTTTATCCTGGTTGCGAAGCTAAATCCACATTCCTCAAGTTAATACAGAAGATTTCTGAACTTCATAAACTGAACGATGAGGTCGTAGGAGTTTACTTGAATGTCAATCCATCCAGCGTAGAGCCACTGCTTATAGAAATATTCGATTTAAAACACTGATTATTACTTTGTAGAGTTTCTACTTTGTGTGTATAATGGGAAAATTTAATTAGTGCATTCAATTACAGCATTTGTTGCATATTATGTTTCTAGGGTTATCCATAAATGAGGAAACTCTGCGATGGCTATATCGCCGATCTGAATATTTTTTATAAAAATGTGATTATAATAAGTAACGTACACGCGGCCGCGAGTAAAAATCGCCAGGAATTAACTACATTTAGAATATAGATATGAATCCAAATGGATGTCAATGTCTATTATATAGTTTTTTAACTCTCATCACAAGTGGAATAACGAGTGTTTTAAGTTCACTTAATCCGAATAAAGTTGATTAAGCTAGGACAGTAAGGTAGGAGTGCCGTAATTAACAATAACAATATTTTGCTTCGTAGCAAGCACATGTTGTATCATTAAGTATTGTGCGAAGTATCTTGAACTCGATATCATTCTCAATGCGTACTGAGACTAAGTGTATGCGTACAACGACAGCATAATAATTCCTAAATGGCTGTTTCGATCATGTTTTCGGGAAATAGTTAAATATATATATATATTTTTAAACATATGGATCGTTAAATTTTAAGTAAATGAATGTTATTCAGTGCAACAAGCTCATATATTATATATATTATATATATTATATATATTAAAGAATTATAATTATATCGTTAAAGAATTGTTTTTAAAAAACAAGATTCCAATGAAAAGAACTCAGCTATATGAATTATAATAGTTTCAGCTTTAGCCAGAGACTACATGTAAATAAGAGAGAAAGATATTATACTTGTATATGTGTGTTGCTGCAATGTACACGAGATAAATTGTGATATCCTGATATAAATATATTTTTCAAAAATACATTGCCACGTAATTTCACGCCAGCGATAAGCTTCTTAAAACGCTTCTCTCATACTATATATATTTACATTAACACTAATGATAATTTGTTACATCTCTTACCAGATATGACACGTCTGTGGATCTCTTAATCATCTGCGTTCGTTTGTCGATAGAAAGCCAAAAACGTACAAAATGAGGATTATTATTGCACCAATACAGCCCGCGAAGAATACGAAGCCGAAGATAAACAAAACCAAATACAATATAATTTTAATTAATAGACTGAAAATCAACCATACGCAGCTCCATGCCGTATCCCAGATGGCTTTTAGTCCCATTCTTTTATTATTGTGAAATTTGGTGCGTATAAAAAAAACAAAATCCAAAATCTCGATTGTACTTAAAAAAATTATTCAATTTTTTGTTACCCTGTTAATTTTTTTTAAGTTTATAAGGATATCTTAAAGTACTACATCACTCTCCAACAGCATGTGCTCAAAAATATTTTATTCTATTGCTTTTGATTTCATAGAAATTTATATATAATTTGTAATCATAAAAATTCATATATGTACATGTTAAATCGATATTTACAATCTGTAATTTTTACAAAAGTAATTCTTTATTTTTTGCAGATCTGTGTAGTTATCATTCGTATATTTAGATCTGTTACACTTGTGCTTCGTAATCGCTTCAATTAGAAACTTAGATCTTTCCGATTAACAATCATGCGAATTCGTTTTTGTTACTCTTGTAACGTATTTCAGTACCGACTAAAAAACGCTAGTGTTTTTTAAAATTTCCTTATTTATTTATTTATATCTTATCACGTACTTTCCCCGTTTCCATGAACCTGAGCACCATTATAGTCAGACGTATGATTTTTTAATTCTATCGAATGTTCTGTTTTTCGTGTTTCTGGATAGTGATCGCGCTTGTAATGAAAAAAAATCTCAACGTTACTATCATACGGCTTGACGAAAGGACAATTAATTTTCTCTGCAGCCAGGTAACAAGCGCCTAATGCCGATGATGTTGTCAAATGCATTAAACTCAATTCATCTACAACATTCCTGTTGTGAATTTCGTTCATGAAAGCGTTCTTCATAAATTTCCATGATTTCCATACAGATCCGACACAGATCACCTTTAAACCCCCGTGAGCAAGTTTGAGATCCTGAAAGAAAAATGCAATTAAAAAAAATTATTAGCATTTTATAAATATTTTTTATTACTAAGTTTTATTTTACATAAATTCAACCATTTTGTATTTTTTTTTAAGATACTAACGCTATGCGCCTTCTTCGAGACAGCGATAATATGTTTCGCCAGAAGTTGTCCAGCTTCCTCGAAGAGTTTAAGGCACAGTGGATCGCCCCTCTCGCAGCCGACCACAATTTCCTTGGTGAAACCGGCAATAGTACTCTTATCAAAGTTTGCGTATAGGTATGGTAATATACCGTGTCTATCAGTCACATTGAAATAACTTCTCATTGCCGGCCAAACGTAACTTATTGATTCTGGTGCTTCAATGAGATCATCAATATCATCGAATACATATTTACAAGCATGAAAGGCGATCCAATAAGCTTAAAATAAGCAAAAGAAAATAATTAATATAGCTAGTGTCAATAATTTAAATGTAAATTATTGAATTTATTTAAATGAGAATTTAGATCATTGTCAATTAAAAGAATAAAATATTATTTACGAATTTTTCGTAATGTGGAAATCAATTTTTTCACATTATATTCTTTTACAGTAAACAATATGTACCTCCTCCTTCGTCGCCCATCATGTGTCCCCATCCTCCACAACCATGAGTTTTTCCATCCGGGTTGATGAGTAAAGCATTGCTGCCAGTTCCAGCGATCAACACGATCCCACCGGATTCCAGGCCAGTCCTAAGGCTACCAAGAGTATCTGAACCAATTACGTAGTCTTTGGCAGACTGCGGATATTCTTTCAACAAAGTTTCCACAATTTGACGATTGATGGTCTCCTCCTCACAACCGCTTAAAGTAAGTCCCTATTGATGAAAAAAAAATTGCTGAATGAATTCTTTCTTTTAAAAATCAAAGTTGATTCCATTTAATCAAAAATTCGAAATTTGAGAGTAACACAAACTAAGTTAGACCGTTTATTTTAAAATAATTTTATATGCCATTTAATATGTCATTTAGAACTGTTAATTATGTTTATAATTATATTATTAATTATTTTGCAGTTTTATTATAATATTGCAAGTAATTATGTGTGTAATACACGTAATATGTTATTATAATAATGAAAATACTTAATTTCTACTCACTACGCAATCTAAAGGAACATTTTCCGGTATATCTAGTAGTTGTTTACCCCTCTCGATCATCGCACTGAGTCTGGCAGCTGTCTCATCTACTCCGATTACCTAGAAATAAACCAAATTTCTACACTCCTTTGTAATAACTTTCTTCAGCAGGCAAAACATTTCTGTAATTGTTCGAATCATTTATTTTGAAAGTGCTGCAGAGATTAAAAAATCCCGTTTGAAACTTTCCCCTTGATTCAGCACTTTAAAGATAAACCATTCGTATAATATCTTTTTTAGTCACCCAATGATTAGTGTGCGGTCCTTTAACTTCTGTTAGCTTCGCACCTTTTCCATTGAGAATTATGAGTGTGGAATGTGTAGCGCCTCTGAAAGTTAATTAATTGACGATTAATAGGAGCGAAGTATTTATTAATTACACAGATCTTAATTAAATATTTCTTGTCGCGAATATCCTGTGAATATTACATATCTAAATTTCTCTTCTTTCTGTTGTACCACTTTGTGTGTACAACAGAACCAATTACATAATCAATTACATTTTCTTTTATTTAATGGCTCGATTCTTTTCTTAACAAATAAAGATACGTATCAACATATCTACTCAGCGGGAGATATGCATGACCTGTCATAGTTAAGTCGGCCTTAATGAACGTTGATTGCTATTATCAGTGCCTGAAATGTCTTATATCTCTCTCTTTCTCTGTCATATAAGAAGTGGAGAAATCATTCGATATGCATCAAAGAATTATTAATATTATTATATAATTATAAAACGATAAATATTAAAGTGCTTATATTTCTAGAGAGAGAGAGAGAGAGAGAAAGAGAGAGAGAGAGAGAGAGAGAGAAAATAATATCAGATACTATTCGTTTTAATTATTAAAACCACTCCCCATTCAAAAATCTTATCGCAATGAGATATGAAATTTCGTGTTTTTTAAATTTTGGTCGTATGCAATTTGCTCCTCTTTTTTACAGTTTGTCAATTACAATGATTTATAAAGCAGTTGTTGCATCTCGCTCCATATTTTAAAAATTAACACAAATATTTTTTTAATTATCTACACATATTCGAGAATTACAGCATGGATATTCACGTTTCTCTTCCTTGAAGGCAAAATTGCCGCTTTAAATCTTCATAACTATGTCAAGATAAGATAAATATTATAATAAAAGCGAGAGCAAACGCTACGAAGAGCATTGCGAAATAAGCAAAGGAAATATTCGAATTGTATGCATAAATTATCGATCAACAATAATCTTTGGATTGACAGCAGTTATCGATCGTGCCATGACTTGAGTTTGACAGATAAAATCGCAGACCAAATAAAAGTGAGATATATCTGATATATAATTCACAAGATTTTTATCATCCGGATTTTCCCGGATTCCTAGTTGATTCTTAAATTGAAAAAAGTGACAGAGTATGGCATAACACATTTCATAGAAGTAACAAATTATGACATAACGTACGTGTTCCAGTATCTCACGTTTCCGATAACTTCCGATAATCTTGCACGTTTCATCGTGCTTACTACAGCTCGCAAAATAACGCAATATATTAATATTTACATTACTTTGCTTATATATATATATAATCATAAATTTAAATATTGTCACGAGAGTTTAACAGAATTTCTCTTTATTACAGGAGTGCGCGCACAAGAAGATTTAATTAATTGAATTAATTATACATGATTGAGAAAAAGAGAAACTCACCCTTCTATACCACCGATCCTAATATCCTCGGAGTATTGAGGCTCAACTTGTGTAAGCATCGCAGCTTCCTGTACCAAGTCCGCGGATTTTGTCATCTTTGCCTGCTCTCTCAAATCTCTACGTAATTGATACTCATCCACGATCTTTTTCTCCTGTTTCTTCACTTTCTTTACTTTCTTCACTTTCTTGCCTTTCTTCTTTCCTGCCATTTTTTAAAATCGTTGATTCAAATTCTTATAGCGAACTTCGTTGATTCAAATTCTTATGGCTCGATGCGGACGTTACGAGGATTCGGCAGGATCTGGATGTAATGGGTTAGCACGGGGATAATGTGGAATAATCGTAATACATTATACAGAATGGAATTTATTGCTGGCTAAATAATTCAAATAATTAATGAGTTATCTGAATAACAAAATCACAATAATCTCTTACATTGGTGGAACCAGGCCTAAGTAATGTTTATGATATCTGTTTAAATTTTATCATATCTAGTTTTTTAATATCTAAATTTCTTGGAAAATTGGAACATGATAATGGAATTGATTTCGTTTAATGCCTATCAAATATAAAAAAAAATATTAACTTTTAATTATACAATAACTTCATATAATAGTTCAAAGTTGTCACGTAAAATAAAATTTCCTGACTTTTTCAGGTTTTCTAGTAGAAAATTTCTATAACCAATATTAAATTTCAACATTTAATTAGAAGCTTAAAACAGTATAATGAAATCCTGGATGCAAATTTAGGCCAACAAAAAATTAATGAGTATTGAAAAAATGCAATTATAATGGGAAAAATAATTAGATAAAAATACTGTATAAAATATAAATTTTAATTATTTTATTAAAATTGTTTTGATTACTTCAATTTTAATTCTGATCAGATAGTTTTTGTTTTATCAATGATTACGATTGATATATATTTTTAATTTTCATATATATATATATATATACATATATGATATATATATAAAATTTATTGATATATATTTTTTATATATTGATATATATATAAAATATTAATGACAAGTTTCTGCTGTATGAAAACTAGAAAGGTACAGAAACAACATAATCACTAGCATATATACATAATTTTCATAATAAAACCGGACAATCTTGCATATAAATAATTAGAACAAGTAGATTTGCTCGTTGGATAACATTACTATGGCACATACTTAATGATGAATGGCTCGACACATTTCCATTTTATGCTAACAAGCAAGTTATCTCGACGGAGCGTAGGATCATATCACGAGATAAAGATACATGCATAGTCATTCGAAAACAAATTATTGGAATAGTAAAGATATATTCTGTACGGATATCACTATTTCAGACAAAAGAAAAGGAATGTATCTCACATATTGTCGACACTTTGAAAGCAATACTTATAGTGAATTTAGTCATTCGCATTACACTGGATTAATACACATTAAAAAGACTGTTTTATGTAAAGTATCCAAATTCCAAATGCAGTAACATAATTTAATTATCATCATTAATTGTATTATACAGATACGAAAAGTAATCGGTGCAAATATATATCCAAGATAAATTTATTTAAATGCATACAGATGTATTATACCAACTTTGAGATCATAAGTGGTAATTCTCTTAGTTGATTTATGATGGTGATTTATGTTGGTTTAAATTGTCTCGTTTCTAACTTATAATATGTAATTAAAATTGACAATAAAATAATACATATATCTTCTTTATATACTGTGACATATTATATATATTGACTATTTAATCGTTCAAAATATATATTTATAAGCTTTTATTATACTTTGTTAATTTCATACAAAACAACTTTTAGTATGCACTAATTTAGTGTAATGCGCTAATGTAAATTTCGCTATTAGCTTCTTGCGATCTTGCGGTTTGCAATTGTGAACGGCGTTTATGCACAGCATGTGCTATTGGACGACCGATTCAAGCGCAAATTATAAACGTGCCATTATTGAATTGATAACCGTTTCTTCGTTCGTCTCTGTCTCTTTTTTCTGCGCACGCCTACGTCGCAGCAAGTGCACTTTGCCTATTCGCATATGTGGCGGCTAATTCCGAAGTTGATAAACTAACCGAGTAAACAAGGTCATTACAGTAAAAGAAATATTGTCATTTGAAAGAGATATAGAAGACAATTCTGAAGTTCTAATTTTACTTTAATATAATTTCTAGCTGTTTATAAGAAAGAAGGTAATTAGACATAAATTAGAAAAAATTAATTAAAGTAGTGATTAAATGACTAACTTGAAAGTTGGCGAACTAAAGAAGTAAACAATCATTACAATAAAAAAATATACAAAAAATATATACAGGAAATGATTAATTTATAAAAGATTCTTCTCTGACTCACTTGATAAAAAAGAGGAAATCGCACATTTAAACAGAAGGGGGAGTTCGCCGGACGAAAGGCATTTAAAATCCTCGCTTGGAAAAAATTGCGCGTCCTTGAAACCGGTTTGATAAACCTGAATCGCCGAAGGACGCGCTCAATCTTCCAATTTTCCGGGCTCAGCGTGCTGAAACTTACGAAATTCCCGCTCTCCTTCGGCGTCAGGAATCGGAGCCGAGGAACAAGTCGATAGCGAAAGAGAGAGTGCGTTCAGTGTCTGGCGTGCGTGCCAATGATGAAAAGCATCTTTTTCACCAGTCTTCCAAAAATAAAAAAATTCCGTGAGAAACTTTCGTATCTCGGAACGGAATGCGCGATCCAGCTGGGAATCGCCGTGGCGGTGTGAACGTCGAACGAAAGCTGCCGATCGTTCTTCCCCGCCGAAGAAACGAAACACGATCGACCGCACCGCACGACGCTGCCCCCGTCACTGTCGACGTCGACCACACCGCTCCGGCCACCGCTCTATTCCACTACACTTTGTGAAGCCAACCCCACTGCGACCTACATGTCACGCGTTCACGGGCGCATGTCTTTTGCTTGATGTCATTGAACTAAAGATCAGAACTACGAATTTCGGATCACTGATCAACTAGAGCAGCGACTTCGTGCGAGAGCGAATCGTTTTTGATATCCGATAAATTTATTTTTAGCACGTCTCTTTCTATGGACTTATAATACCCCAGTATCCGAAAAATCAAAATTTTGGATTCGGACGAATCCATTTCTATTTATTTCAATTTCTTGAGAATTGAAATAGATATGTAGAAATGGATTCATGTAGTCACATTGCCGAATCCAAGCCAAATTCGCGGATTCCCTTTGAGGAACTTATACATTAACAAATGAATAAAAAATTTGTAAATAACATTTTATATTTACAAGAAATACAGTAGATAAACAATTACACATTATTTATTATTAACATCATGATTAATATATATATAATCTATTTACATGACATTCTCTAATAAAAATTTACTATTATATTTTCTCTATGATCATTTCTTATACAATTTTAAAAGTGCCACAATATTATTTTCATATATATATATGTGTATTTATATTATACATACATGTAATTATATTGTATATACAATAGAAAACACTTAAAATATATTTGTATACTATATTATATACATTTACGTATTTTATACTGCACGAAAATTAAAGTTTATTTATAACTTCGGCCATAATTTTCAAAAATTGCTAATTGTTTCTTAAATATAAAATTAATTTAATAGTAATATAAAGAGAAATTTATATTAATTCTTTAAAAATGTATTTATATATTGTCTGAAAATATTAGTTGTAGAATAGATTATTTATAATAAAAATTTAGCATCAGAACATTGATTTTTTTTGTTGATGTAAACCGGTGACGCCTAATTTAATTACACACAAAGGGATGAGGTAAATATTATACATTTGTGACGTCTACCTACGTTTACACACAGAGAGATGATACATATAGGGTGTAATTAAAATAAGATGACAAACTTCGGAATCGTACTCCCCACACACTAAAATAAGAAAAAGTTTATATGAATATATGTCAACAATCCACCGTTACTCAGTATAGCTCAAAATGTTTGCAAGACCTCCATGATTCTCCCATCTAAATCTTCTAGATTTTTATTTATAAAGACACTTAAGATTATGATCATATAATATGTATTTATTCTCTATGTGTGAGAAATATCTCTAAAGTTTAACCGCACCTTTTAGTTACACCCTGTGTAATATATACAAATATATCTTTGTGTCTACGTTTAAAGACATAATTCAATTTGTTTCATACAGATATCTTTATACGAATTATTCTATATGAATTATAAAATTTAAGCAGTTCTCTACATATCGTGTTTCCATAATTTAAAAATTAAATTATGTTCTACTTGCTCTTGTTCATTATTTTGACACATAATGCAGATTTTCAATTAACAAATGGACGAAAGGCGATGACATACTTAATCAGTCTCACTTCTTGTTTAACATTTTTGTTTCTTCTTTTTATAAAACATGGAACTCATACTTTTCCAAAAAAAAAAGAAGTTGAACAATTCAGTCATATTCACACAATTTCATTCTTATTATCTATGAAATCATATATCCAAGATATGTTAATAAAATGTCACTTGTTCCACACATCCATGAATCTGTTCTATAGCTTTATCGGCAGATTATTATTTCCTCCATGCGAAATCACGTTAAAACATCTACTAGCCAAAAGTTACTTCATTAAATCCATTTGTCAAAAATCCAAAAATGCAAATAATTTTGTAAGATAGAAATAATGTAATAAACCTTGCTCTTCTTTGGGTGCAGAAGTGGTATCCTTATTTTCACTTTCCGCTAGGTCATTTTCTTGCTGTACATCGTGTGTTAGATCTAATTTGTTAGTATCGTTAGTAGAATCATTTTGTTGATCTTTATAATCTCTCATCGATTTTTTATTGTTCTTTAACTTATCTTCTACATCAATTTGCTGTTTGGAAATGTCCTCTTCAGATAAAGTAAGACGATTACTGTCAGGTGCATTTTTTTTCATTAGTTTATACTTTTGATAATCCTTTGAGGCCTGTCTCATGCGAATTAGAAAGTCTGGTAAACCTAAGTAATCGTCATTAATTAATTATATTACAAATGCATTAAATTTTAAAACAATTCCATAATTGATTTTATAATTTACAACAAACCTCTCAATGCTACCCATGCAGTGACAGCAGATGGTACAGAGACACCAGGATCGTCGAAGTAAGTAAGTCCAAATTCAATGCCTGGTTCGTGAAATTCTGTATAGGGCTTTATCACCATGTATGACCAATATGTTCTAACTCTGTTGCATACAGATATTAAAGTATTAAGATACTTAATTCTGATAGCTTAAATGTTCAGTTATTGAATTAAAGCTCCTGAATAATCATCACAGTAAAAAAAAATATAAAAAACTGTTTAATTAACAAAATATTATATAATATTATAAGAATTTAAAACTAAAAATTGATCAACACACTGACTTAATGATCTGCCATCACATATATTTTATGCTTGAATATTGACTGTTAATGGTAACTGTTCTTTATATACCTATAAATTCCCCGCCTCTCTGGTACATTAGGATGTTCCGTCACTCGACTGACAATAACTACAAGTCCTTTCTCTTTATCCATGACCCATCGCCGTTGATATACATAATCTCTATTTGAAAATAATTTCTGCACAAATACAAATTAAAATTATTAAGTGAACAGATCCATCTAAAAGATGGTACATTATATTATACTTACAGGCCAGATCATTTCCCAATGAATAACATCAGTACTATGATCAACAGATGATTCAGACTTCGGATCAGTCTCAATAATATGTAATTCCTGAGCAGTGGGATCCCATTGCTTTCTATAATCTACATCGATTTGTACTTGTAGAAAATCTTCAGCGGTAACATCAGAGAATGAACCATATACTTTATAGGCAAACAATCCACCCGAATCAGGTTCTACTTTCCTCCATATCAACATATCTTGACGCTCGATGAAAGGTTGCCAATCGTCTGCTGTACGTATTTTTTATATTACGTATAAAAATTTGACATAAACAATATAACATAAAATCAAATATATTTATGTATATAATAAAACGTTTCAAAGCTGAATAATTAATGCAAGAAAAACTTACAATTCTCATTAGAAGCAGCAGAAGACTGAACTCCACTACATTTACAATATTTTACATCAGACTGTATAGTATCGATAACAATTCGCAAATGACACTTTGTACAGACCACCGTAGAGTCTCTTAATCTATAAATTCCTTCGATTTCACGATTATACCTGCAATACAGAATGTCAAAAATTATTTATGAATATATTACACGTGTCTTGTTCTTGTAAACATTCATCGCAAGTACCTATTAATTTCATCGTCATTTATCCTATCACGGTCCCAGTTGTACACGCTTACTCCGGCCGCGCTTATCAGGAAGTTCTTGGCGTTCTTAGCGAGTCTAAGTCTCCACAGTCGCATGAATTCTCTCAGTGCCATCTCGTCCCATATCCTCGTATAGAGGTGGAATATCTGCATGTACCTTCTGATTCTCTGGGCCGCCACAAACTCAAACTGTTTCCTGCAAGCCTGAACTGTCTGCGTACCCTGCTCCCGGAACCACGAGCTTATCCTCCGGCGATAGCTGCCGAGTTTACCGCGACCCTGTGTCCTCGGACCGCAGTGTTGTAGAACGAGAGCTAATTTGTTAGTACCGCTGCCGTAATCGCTATTGAATCTTCTGAGAGCATAACCGGTCAGCTTCCACGTATACATCGTTCGCTCGCGGCGCTGCTACGTTACGAATCTCTCGTACGGAGCACAGTCAGTCCATTCGGTCTCATTTACGATCTCCGGATGTATCGCATAGATAGCTGTAGATAACCACGGACTCGTGGTGATAACTATACGTTAAACACCTCGAGCCGGTCTCGGGTTCTTTTCGTAAATTTCGTTATCGCCGTCGATAAAAACGTATCACGAGTGCAAGAGGTGACTTCTCTTCTAAATCAACGCATACTATTAATTATCGTGAAACTAATTAAATGAGAAATTGCGATCATCGTCATCCGCGATACCTAACCGCGCCGCGCGCGTACCAATACATAACCATCGATCGCGGAGGAATGAGGACGACGCCAACGACGCCGGCGGCGAATCCAGGAGTTGCGTGTCGAACATGTGCGAAGTTGGAGTTTTAGCGCAGCGAAAGAGAGGAACAGGTTGAACAGCCAATCGGCACGCAAATTTGAAATTTTCGAAGGCGCGGGCAATCGCCGCGAGACTTGGCGCCAATTTCAAATTTTTATGTCCGTTTACTAACGCGCGTAAATTAACTTTAATCTCATTGTCAGTTCAATTTACTCTTTTCGTCTTTTCTAATTTTTGAAAACAGAGAAAAAGACGAAGAGTTGAATCGAGATTAAAATTAAACTACATTGGTAGAAACGGACAAAGAAATAAAGAAAGTTCAAGATCTCAATATTAATGTTTAATAATACATTTAAATAAAATTAAAATTTGAAGTGAATAAAAATTTTAATATTGAAAGTTTAAATGAACATTTTTTCTTATTTTATCTTAATTATTTTTTGAAACACGTCTATTTTTATCTAAGATCTAAATCACCGCTAAACTTTTTGTATTACTTTCACACACAAATGGAAAATATTAAAAAATCTCTAAACTTTCATAATTTTTTCATTTTGTTAAGAAATACTTGTAATATATATTCTCAAAGATTTCTTTCTTTTATTTGTGTTGTTCACTCATCGCTCTATGTTAAATTTATTTCCATTTTTATCAGTAAATTGATTTCAAACTTTTTGAACGTATATAAATCTGTAATTAATTTAAAAATGTTAGGCGGTATTTAAAACTTTACTTAAAAATTCTATTAACCGCGAATGGCAATTGCCGCGGTTTCCGTTGATCGAACGTTTTTTGCACGGCTAACATTGAAACGAAAAGTTATGCAAAAAATCATAAAAATTAAACCGAAGTCTCGTTAAGACTTTCGTCGTAATTGTGCACAGGCGGAAGTAAAGATCGGGAGCGAGACGATGGCACACAGCAGCGGGACTTTGGATATCGTTTTTTTATTAACGTTTTATCAGTTACAATTTTGATTACATACACATAATGTGGAGTCGTCTTTAAACACACGGCTGCTATGATACAAATGACGAGGATAAAAATTTGGAGTGCGTAAAAATGTGATTGGATGACAATTCTCTCTTTTGCTTCTATCTTCCTCCCCTCCCCCCTCTCCTCCCTCCCCCCCTCTTCCCCCTCTCTCTCTCGCTCTCCGCTTGCCCTCCTTTTCACTACTTCATTGGTCATGGCGATGGGCCAACCTTGAACGTATATTAATATAATATACCGAGTTTTTGGCCCATGTCCACTAGAGTACAGGGTAGGTAGGTGTGATATCCTTGATCGCAATTAAATCGTCCCTAATTCGCTAATATTTTACACGCAATGTCGGTGCGCAATCATCGCTCAAGACTGGCCCGGCGTTGACGAATCCGTTCGACCCACGCCCAATCTCAGGACTGCGTTTCTCTCACACCGAGACCGCGGAGAGGCACCGGGAGCCTCCGTGCCAAATTCAGAGGACGGTATTTACAGAGGGAATTTATGGAATAGCAGCCGCGACCGACAAACGTGTCCCACCGTGAGGGATGTTACGTTTAAACGGAACGGCTCCTCGTCTCTTGCTCGTCCATGTTGCTCGTAGACGTCGGAAAAAAAAAAAAAAGAAAACGAAACGCGGATCTAAAAGACGTCTGAGGGATATCAGAAAGGCCGAGGCGTCTTCTAGATTGTTCTGCAACTCGAGGAAATTGCGGAAATGCATCACAACGGCTTTGATTACAATTTAATTCTGATCTAACTATGGCTAATGCAAATAGAAAAATTGTCTACATAAGTATAGTTACATTCAACGAAAGTTAGCATCGACTGTACTGACATTCTCGATTAAGCTTCTCAGAATAATAATCTTCGTCGATTATAATTTTAATGTGAATATAAACTATACATTGAAACCGTACAAATTATTTGATGAAAAATGTACATCTATAAAGTCGCGTTCAAAAGTGCCGCTTTGAGGTGAACTCGCATTCTCCTTGTGCCCGGCTGATTAAACGATTCGAATTATGCCTACAGCCGAACGTGTACTCAGACCTGCAAGGACGAGGCAAAACTTTTGAGAAACGTCAAGGTGCAATGACAGAGAAGAGGTCCTCTGAACTTGGAACAATAACGGTAGGTTGCCTTCGCGCGTGTACGTTGTACTCAGCGACGAGTGGCACGTCTTCTTTTTTTGTTCTTCCTCTCATTATCATATATTCACACGATTGATCATCTGTCAACAATTATTTGGAATATTATCCTTTTAGGTAAACAGTATCGGGGGTGGACAACGGGGTGAGACACTAACTGGTCCAGGTAATCGCGGCGCGATACACGACCTCCGTCCGTGTAACACTAATCTGCTTTTCCTGAGACACGGTCGGTGAGGGTGATATGCAATTTGTGATTCGCAGAGACTTGTAAATTGTGCGTAGATCGCAACGCGTTAATAACTGAAGTTTTTATTCGGAGTAGAAATGACACCTGGCGAAGACGATCTTTCCAAATGCACATATGCGGCCGGACTTGTACAAACGATTAAAAACTTGATGGAAATTCATTTAGCAAGATGAAGCAAATATCGAATCTCCTCTAGCCTCGTCCTTCTCTTTTACCCTTTCTGCGTAAAAATTAGCTACTGAGAAATCTCTGATTATTATTTAAATACCAGAAGGTCTAACATTTTAAGCAAAGTTGCTCGATTACTGAAACGTTAAAATGAGGAACTCTGTCTGCAAAGATCAGTCCTACGACTCGGAGATTTGCTTGATATATATCAATCGAATTGATAGAAAGAAAATGGTAAACACAATGATTCGTGGTAGTCACTCGGCTGCTCAATCCAAAGCTCGCAAGTAAATCCCATACTACAATTGCGTAAGCATAGTTTTAAGCGACTGTAGTTGTTACATAATTGACTAATCACAGTTGAATATATGAGAATATTTTATCTGATTATACTTCCATTTAAATTAAAAAACGACAATCCTGTTTACGAAAAGGAAATAACTCGTTGGCATTTTTAGACTCGACAAATGGTTTCGTAGTTCTCCTTTACAATTTTCCGTTCCCTCTGACAAAATACCAATCATTCCACCATGGTTCGTGTACCATTAATCAAACGTCGAATGAAGTGAATGAGTCAATTAAATAAACATGGTACTCGCGGCACTCACAAACGCTAGATGAACAGTTCGTTTATTAATAGTCTATCAAATATTAATCGTGAATTACAACGACATCGTGGTAATACGATCAGCAAATGTCATTCGCGCTAAATCTTGTTGAAGAATAGAAATTAAGCTAATCGAGCGCTCGCTGTTTATCAGCCGGTGGTTTCATGAATCGCGCTCTATATACGTGATCGCAAAAGGTTCAATTGAACGTTTTAGTACGTTTAATGATGCAGCTTGCCACGAGAATTCGACGCGAATGCATTCAATTTCTCCGTCGCGCGTAATTATGCAACGTGAAAACGAAGAAAAAGCTTCCAATTACTAGATAAAAGAAACATTTAGACTCAATGTGCGAATGTTGATTTATTTTTAATTTACCGATAAAATTGACTTTAAAATTAAAATCAATTCTAAGTACACAACTTTAATTTGATTTCTATTAGCTTCGAAAGAATCTTGCAATTTTTGTTTAGTACGCTAACTAGAGAATGCGCTAATTTAATTTACTCCATAATCTTAAATGACTCGCCTGAAAAAAAATAATAAACACGTGTTTGCGTGAGATCAGAGAAAAATGTTAATTAGAAATATACGAACGTTATGGAAATTGCTAAAAAGAGATGCTAATCAGGAAATATGTGACTTTATTTATGCCTTGTAACTTCGTTACAATGCGCAATGTGCGAATCAAAGGTAATTTCAGCAGAATTAGATGAAAATAGAATGACTTATTAACAAAATTGCAACAGCCCTTTGATTTGCTTGCGAGTACTGAGGATCGCGCAACAAAGACCGTAATTAATGCGAATTTGCATTAAGTAATTAAGAGTGATACGCGTATTAACGACTTTTCGAAGTATGTTACGCGTACCTTTCGCTCTCGTGATCCTTCATAAGCTAGTTGCACATTTCGCACGGAAACGAGAAGCGCGACTTCAAAGGCAAGCGTTTATATGTTATCCTGATCGCCAGTGGAGGACTCGTATCACTACGTTGCATTGAAAACATTTTTTGTTTCATACGAAAATCGTACGCGTTTCCATATCTCGTAGATACGATTCAAAGAGAAATGTATAGAAGAAAAAACATAATAAAACGCGTCCGAAATTAGAAAACCAGTATTCGTAAATAGGTTCTTATATATTTAAGAAGTCGCCTTAAATACAATCTTAAGATGTCATAAATCAATCACTGATTGTGAGCCATATTGGCATCTTAAGATATTACTTGAGGCAATCTTGAAATAATAAGAGTCGGACTATGAATACACAGCCTACACTGAGAAAAAAAAATCTGAATTAAAAAAAAATATTTCTTTGCTCGCGTATTTAAAAACATTATTTCTTTGGATTAATAACAATTTCTTTAAAATTAAAATTTTTTTTAATTTAAAAAAGTAAGATTTTAAAGTAAAAAAAATATCTTTAAAAAAATTTTTCTTGATTCGAAGAAATGTTTTTTTTTTAATACGAGTAAAGAAATATCTTTTTGAAATTAAGATATTTTTTCTCGGTATATAATAAACTATCAAAAACAGTTTCCCGATTAATATGCGACACCAGGTCACCCGTTTGCGATCGTCTGTTATTCATGATGGATACTTTCATCGAATTCGTCGAGAACCTGCAATCTATCCGTTACTTCTTACTTGTAATAATCACGAGAGTTTCGCTCGAGACGTTTCCTGTAACGCGACGACTCTCTCGTAGGACTTTTGTTCGAAGCTAAAATGGCTTTCGGTGAAGATGCGGCCGAATTTACATACGTCGACTATAACATTGCCTTGCATCGCGGCTATGCCGAATGCTGTTTTGAAGTGCATCGCCGATTATTCGAATGGAGCGAGATTTATCTAACAACAAAGTATGAAATATATTCGAAAGGAGGAAGGGATGAACCTTTTGGAAAAAGGAATGGATAACGCAGAAACGAGAATATCTGTTATCAATCAAACGATGTATCTGTTAAACCTTCGTCAGTCTGTTCCAACGTCCGAGGACCAATCTCACCAGAGCCAGCTAGCTAATTCGCTTTAAGCGGTTCCTTCATCTCTTTCCGAAGTCGAAGCTGCGGGAAAGAAGCCGAGGAACCGATAAAGGTACCGCGATTAGAGATTAATCATCGATAAAACCGGCCGTAAATGTTCATCAGTATACGCCTTACGATTTGTTGCTTCCCTGTGAATGTGACTAGTTCGACACTGCGGAATGTTAAAAGATTTCGTTTAGCGCGGCGAGATGCCGTTTAATCGCACCTCGCGGACGCACTGGACACGTTACAGATTGTAACGAGGATCGTCTCGTATGTCCTTTCCTTATACGGAGGGCGAGTCGTGCCGCTCGAGGCTGGGCGATGCACTTTCTCCCGGCAAGGATTTTAAGTTCCATACGTTCGCGCCGCCTCTCCGCGCGACTTCGCCGTAACGCTGCAACGTTACGCCGCGTATTCGGTGTGTATATATATATATATATACTTTCGACTTGGTCGTGCGGATCGGCTACTTTCGAGTTTCGGCCCTCTAGGCCCGCGTGGGGGCTGTGGGGCATTATAATTCCGGCTTCGTGTGTGCTTCGCTAACAATTAAAAATTTGTTCGCCTATTACTTATCATTTCGTGTATTTTTTGTCGTTTAAATTCAATTCACATTATTAGGGTATAATAATTAATTAATTAATTAATTAATTAATTATAATAGTGTCATTATAATTCGTAATAATATACAACATTTGTCAATAGATCATTTATGCTAAAACCCACTGCATGCTCGTGTCGAAATCACTCGCATTTTCTCCCACATTTTCCCAAACATGCACTCGTATACGTGCGTGCATGCATCGACATACATACACATGCACTCCTTAACACACATGCGGTCTCTCTCTCTCTCTCTCTCTCTCTTTCTTTCTCTCTCTCCGTTCTCTGTGACCTCGCTTGGCTTTCTCTCACTCTCTCTTTACACGCTCAAATGTATTACACAAAGTACACCTTCCTCTTACTTTTCGCACACTCTCACGCCGTGGGACTGTACTGGCTTCACGCGTGGCTTATCTAACTAATTCATGATTTAAGTGTGATTTCGGGGTATACGTGTACGTGAAATGTGTACATGTAAATGCACGTATAAATGCGCGCACATCGGCACGCGCACGCCTCCCCTCTTTTCTTTCAAGATTTACAATTACAACCGACTCGTCTCTCGCGCGCGTTCTCGGTACATTCTACATGTAAGTTGTACATATGTGTGGTAGCCTACTTTTTGTTGTAATAAGACAAAAAGAGAAAAGATACAAAATCAATGTGCGGCAATACCTCTGCGTAAGAAAAAAAAAAAAACCGAGGAAATAACGAGAAAGCAATAGCGTTTCCCCCTCGAAAAGAGGGAGAGAGAAAGATTACACGAATGATACTCCTGTGTGTATGTGTGTGTGTTTCGCATGTATAATGTGTGCTATATGAGACAATGATCTTTGTACATATTTTCAAATGTATTCCCGCGCGATATCAACATGACGAAGATGCGGAAGATGCTCTCGTCTTGGGAAGACGCAAAGCTCACGGACGTGACGAAACGCTGATGTTTAAGTATATATATATATATATATAT